CTTAGCATTTGGATCTCCCAGTGGTGTTGAGTGGTTTCTTGTTTTTGTTTCTGTACTGACCGAGAAGGGGCATTATAAAAACAAACCAACCAACCAGAATTAAACCAAACAAAATCTCTCTTTCTTACTAGGTGCTAAGCAGAGCTGAAATCCAAATTTATGTCTGCATGTGGTGGTGGGAAGCTGCTGCCGCAGCCTCTTCCATGAAGGGCTCAGATTCCATCAAAAAAGTTCTACGGTCCCTCCCTCCCTCCCCCATCAGTTTTGCCCATGTCAAAAAAGCACTTGACTTGGTGCCTGGGGGCTTCCTCCTTCGGTAGTAATGCCTCACAGTTCTGTAACGCTTCATAATTTGCAAAGCATACATCCTGCACCAAGGCCATATCTATCATCCACCTGAAAGGCCCAGCCTCAGAAACATTCCGTCACCTGCCCAAGGTCACAGAGCTGGTAAGCAGGGGAACTTGGACTCAGTCCCAAGTCTCCAAATCCCAAGTTTATTATTTCTTTCCCCCGCATGACCCATGGATTTACTTATTCATTGGTTTATTCATTTATTCGATCAACATTTTCAAGGGCCTACCATGTAGGTTCACAGTCCGGTGGGAAAGACAGACACATAAATGACAGTGACAATACGGTTTTGTGCTCAATGTCCGGGACACCAAAAGGAAAAATCCGACAGTCGAGCTGTTTTGTCGTGAGGGAAGATATGTGTCAGTGAACAGTGAGAAGACAGGGAGATGGGTACAGAAGGAGGGGTGTGTTTGAGCAATCCTCTGCGCAGAGATGGGCACCAACTGGGGGTGGGGAAGGGGGCTTCCTGGAGGAGAAGGCATTGGAACCAAGCCTGTCATTAGAAGAAAACCAGTGCTCATCAAGACAGGGCGGCCAAGAGGGCAGACCTACAGACCCCATTAGAAAGAGGCTGCTGCTGGACATGGTCACTGGCTCTGACTTTGGGACAGGCTTAGGCCTAACAAATGTGGAGTGGTCACAAGAGTCTGTGTGAGGCAGGGCATATTTTAAATTTTTTCTGCTTTTTACTCAAGTATAACATACACACGGAAAAGTAGACGAATATTTACTGAACATACAGCTCAATGAATGTTCACGAAGTGAATGCCCCCGGGTAGCACACCTAGCTCACCCCAAGATGGAACTCCGGCTCCCCATTCCTGGCCTTCACCAGTTACAGTCTCTGACTGAGATTAACCCCTGTTCTGATTTGTAACAGCCTGTGTCAGCTTCACCAGGTGTGGTACTTTATGTAAACTCTGGCAGGTACTCTTTTATGTCTGGATTTTCTAGTCGACATCGATGTTTAGTTATTAGGAACAAAGTTGCTAAGGGCATTTCCCCCCCCCCCCCCCACCGCCGAACCTGTTGATGGAAAAAAGCAGGCATTTCATTTGGATCTTTACCTACACCTGGGATTGCCAGGTCCTACTATAGTCTGGGAAGAGGCTTAGTTTTACTACCAAATGTAGATCATGTCACACTTTTTTTTCAGCAGAGGTAGGGGGCTGGGGGCAGGGGACTGTGTTGGTCAAGGGTGCTTTCATTTGATCTCAAGCACAAAAATACAGCTTTGATCGATTAAGGTGGGGGGGGATGTTTCTTGGTCATTGAGTAAAGCAGGGGTCCAGAATTGGGCCACCTGTAAGAATGAGGGCAATTTAGGTGCTCGTGGGCTGTGGCTAGCAGACGAGTGCACATAATCTTTCATTTCTAATGGCTTTATCCTCACCTATTGTGAACAGGCTTTTTCTGTGTGACAGAGAACATGGTTGCTAGCAGTCACTGGTTTCTTAGTGACAGATTAGTGACACCAGAGGAGAAGACTTCTCTCCCTCACTTCAGAATATACAAATTTCAAGGAAGGCTCTGGTCGGCCCAGCCTTGCCCAGTCACTGGAGTCGCCAGAATGGAGGTGATATGGTTGGACAGACCTGAGTCCAGGAGGTTCCCAAGGATTGGGTTCCAGTAAATCACATTACAGGAAAGGGAGGAAAAGTACCCCTTCCCCACCAGTCATAGAAGACAAATAGGGAAAAGATGCCAAGCAGATGAAATGAAACATGTTCACTGGACTGTGGAAGGCAGTGACCATCCGGAACTCTACTGAGAGCCAGGTGCTCTTCTCCACTAGGGGTTAAACATATGTTACAAAATCTGATTGTCAAAAACAACATGTAATGTAGATGCTATTATGCCCATTTTAACTGATGAGGCAACTTAACTTCTGGAGAAGCCCCGTTATTGGCTCATGCCCTTCAGTGCTCGAACTGACCAGAATACCAGGAGAAGTTCTTACCCCAAATCATCTGTCAGCTCCCCCTTTTTCCCAAGTGGATAAATGTGGGTAGAAAGCAGTAATTTAAAAACTTATTCCTTCTTTTATAGCTATGGGAATTGCTATAATCAGTGATTCCTTGAACTCAGATGGAAAAAGCCCATGATGGTGGTGATGACTGGAGCATGGTGCTCTCTGGGAGGACCACAGAGCAGGGCAGGAGACAGCAGCCCAGGCGGTAGGAAGAGGTAGACTGGCAGGCTTTTGAGCGTCCCAGTCAACTTTGTCACTTTACCCATGGATCTGGTATTTATCCATTATCCATACATTCATCAAGTCTACATTTATTGACAATCTATGTGAATCCAACACTGTCCTAAGGATACAAGATAAAAGAGCACCATTGCACAGGAAGCTCACAGCCACCGGAGAGGAGAGGCAAGTAAGCCATGACCATACACCACTAGGTGCTATGAGAAGGACATACCAGGCTTGAGGAAGCTAACTCAGCAGGCAGGGAAAGCCTCACAGAGGAGGGAGCAGTTGAGCTGAATCTGTAACAATAGGTAGCTGTATTATGATGTTGTAATTTACTTGAAAACATCCACTATAGACATTATGATAGTATCTGCTAATTGATACTGCATTCTAAGGAGTGGTCAGTTGCTCTGATCAGAGATTTATGCTCCAGATCATTTAATCAGCAAGGTCTCAATATAAGTCAGGGCCCAGAGCTCCAACTTACTTATTCCAAAGGAAACCAGAAGCTTTTATTAAGTTAGAATAGTGAATGCTAAGAACAGCTTTTCAGTGGGGGAAATTATTGTGCTCTTAATTAGCATAAGGGATGCCATACATGGTCTCTCGTTGATGAAATTAGTGGTATTTAATATGTGTGAATTCAATATGCACTGGCTACAGTATTTTAGAGACCTTTCCTACCTCTCCACAACCAGGTATAAGAATCCACTGAAGCCATTAGTCTATACCCTTAGTTTGGGTGCCCAAGGCTGATGCCTAAATGATTGGGTTGGAGGATTCTGATGGCATCACAAGGTTAATAGGATCCTGCTTCTAGAATGTTGGTGTGTCGGCTTTTCAGCAGACACAAATGGTTGGTTGTCAGATCATCTAAAAAGGCGCTGGAATTTACCACACAGAGTTCTATGCTTGGTTTTGTACTTGACTGCTAAAGTATGTTTAGTGAAAGGGGCACTTGGGTGGTGCAGTCGGTTGAGCATGTGACTCTTGATCTCAGCTCAGGTCTTGATCTCAGGGTCATGAGTCCAAGCCCCACACTGGGCTTTACACTGGTGAAAAGGTATCTCCGCACATGGTAGAATTTGGTCTTGAAAATTGTTTGCATCATAATATAGTGTGCACATGGGTTTTGGGTACTACCTTTACCTGCCAAAAGATTGTCCATGACCAAATTGGTTTAGGTCGATGTGCAACAAGTTCAACCAGATAGAAAAGGCAATGAGGTGCTCTCTGGGTGGGAGAACACTAGGGTTCAAGGCACAGGGAAGTTCCCAGGGACTTGGAAATAGGTGGGTTCCCCTGAGGTACAGGGTACTGGGAGAGGGTAATATTTCTCTCCCGAAGGACTTCTGTGCTCAGTTACTGAGTTTGGATCTCATCCCTCACATTAGCCATGTTGAAAATGTGCCCGAGGATGACCCACCTTGGAATCACCTGGGAAGGATGGGGGTCTAGTTTCCGCTCTTAAAAATAACCTCCCCAGGCAAGCTTTCCCCCCACCAGAGTTTAAGAATATCGAAAGCCAGTGCAGGGTGCTCAGCAGTGGGAAGATCGGGGAGGTGATTGGCTGGTGGTGCACCAGAGCCTCCAGCAGCAGGGGGAAGTATGAGGGGAGGGTCTGACTGGAGACTCCAATACTGGTCAGGAGGTTTCGGTGACAGTTCAGATGATGGTTCTAGAAGTGGGGAGTTGGTTTAAAGAGCCACCGGTAGCCAGCCTGACTGAGTGACTGATGGGCCGCCAGAAGGCTGGTGTGAGGGAGCCGGCTGGGCTTATGATGACTGACAGGTGTCTGGCTGGGGGACAGTATGGAGAGTGATAGGGGAAAGCCTTTCTTGGGCTGCTGTTGGTTGTCCTTTTGGTCTGGAGTATGCAGATGGAAGCCTGCTTACAGGTCTGTCACTCCCTGGGCCGGCCTGGCTGCCAGCCCACTGCCTGCACTGAACCAGAGCAACCGAGCCCCCTCGGCAACCTCCCCCCCGCCACCACCGCCCCGGCCCTGCTGGCAGCGGCTCCTGCCGATTGCTCAGTCCCTGCCTGTGTCATGCCTGGTCCAGGACAAATTCTAGAAAGCATGGTTCAAATAAGAACAGCATTATCTGATAATATTAATGTAACAAGCAATTGTACTCTTCACCATCACCTGCATTTAGTTCCTTTTAAATAAAATAAAAATAATCCAGAAAGTGGATTATGTGGAAGAAACCCCAGGGCTGTTTCCCTCTGGTCACTGTTGCCCCAAATCCCTGCCAGATGTTCAAGCAGAGAAGCTCGTGTTTCAGCAAATTACGGAACCTCATTAGGACTCTATTTCATGTTTTGAGATGCTGTAGGCCTTTATATGAGGTGATGTTGATTTCTTAAACTTGTATGACAGCATAATGAATGCATGTCAGTGAAGTGTCCAATGAAATGTGAAACAATCAGTGAATTCTTTGCATATTTTATTTTTCTTTTTTTGATTTCCAACTCACACACATCTGGCATATTTTACATCTTTGCAATAAAACATGGTTACAATAGCTTAAGGAATTTATATATCCAAAATATTTCACCATGATCTCAAGATGAAATGAACTTGTCTTCCAGATGTTCAGTATCCTCCCAATTCTAAGCTACAAACTCAAGATATTGCTTACAGCCTGGTGATGAATAACTTAATAATTACGCTGATCCCCCAGAATTTCAGAATATCATAAATACAAACAACAATGAAGAAGGAATTCAGTGCTAAAACTTACTAATACAAGGTGGATGACAAATAAGTAATCACGTCAATAAATAATGATATGTTTCTGGTGCAAAGTGCCAATACAAAGAACCCATTATCTTGTTGTATCTTTTTAAATAAATGACTGCAAGTGAGTATAAATTCTGAGAAAATTACATTCCTGGAACATGCCTCATAGCCCTACCGACACAATATGTACATCTATGACAATACAGCCACCAAATATACAAAGAAGAAACATGAATAAAGTTGTATATACCCCTGGGTGTATAACTTGATCAGTACAAGGTATGGAAAATCATTTGATACCCATCATTTTATATCATAAAAGATGAAGTGCCTTAGGCTAAGAATGTGGCTTTAGGTGAGAACTGCACAAGAACCTAAAAGAATAGCCTCAGTTATTGTTATAATAAAGTCTGACTCGTTATTAAAGAAACTAAGCTATTCAAGAACCAAAGAGGAAAAGAAAAAACCCAAGAAACAAAACCAAAAATAGTTAGCATCAGATTCTCCTCCCCTAATGTACACACACTAAGCCAGCAGGATGACTCTGGAAGAGATGCCCAGGAGCTGGGAAGTCATTACCATGGAACTAACGATCGTGACTCCTATTTATACAATAAAAACCAAGACCTCATCCCTAAGCCCCCTTTCTGCTGTGTCTTCAAATTATGAAGGGTAGGGCTGAATTTTCTTTGTATAAAGTAGCAAAAATGGCAAATAATGGCTTAGTATCCAAATGCTTTATGAGCAAATTTCACTGAGAAGGGATGAATTTAGATTAAAAAGTGCAAACCATATTTTGGTGAAAATGTCAAAAATTACTGATTGAGCCCAAATTCAACCCTTTCATACAAGCTGTGTCCTTGGACAGATCTTTCTGTTTCATAGTGTGAATGCACCTGTTCCATCAAGACATCAGGATTAAAGAACATGCAAGTTGTAACTCCACAATAAAATTAAGAAACGTTTTGTTCTTTATACAAGGTTTTACTTTTATAAAAGTATCCCTTTAAATAAGATGCATCTGATGTACAAAGTATCAAACGTGTTTTTTTTTTTTTCTCAGCTTGAAAAGAGGCTGGAAATGGGATGCAGGTTAGGTTCAAAGCTTAAACTTTGTAACAACTGGACACAAGGTTCCTCAGAATTGTCAAAAGTCTCTTGTGACGCGTCCTACTACCTTTTCTCAATAAACAACAATATATGAAATAATTACCAAAACATCTCCTAATTCATTTAATTTACATGATATAAGCTTGCTTGGTAGCAGCTGGTGTTCAGTCGTGAAAAAACACAGAAAGTAAAATGGCTGCTGACTACAATGTACAGCTATTGCTGGGTGTGATGGAATGTACAAACGGAGGTCGATGTAGACGAGTTTTTTCCACCAGAGATATTGCCTTTCCATGCAGCACTTGTGCTCTCAGCTTTGACTTGGCTTTTGGTTCTTCATTTGTCTTCAGTATCTGTTCTGATGCTCATAATGCCACCGATTAAAATCTATATTAAAAGCTACAATGCTACCGGAAGCCATGCCAGTGATCAGCGTCCTGGAAAAGCAGAGACAGAAGTTAAGAGTGATGCAAAATCACTGATGTGGTTGCTACTTTCTACTAGACGGTATCATGATCTCTGAGTTCCCCGGGGTCTTGGTTTTGTGGTCATCGACACAGGTTTACAATTTATTCCTGTCTCCTGGGAGACCTGGAATCAATCCTGCTCAGACCCGGACTGCTAGACCAAGGGCTGTTTAGCTTTGGATCAGACAGCTCATCTGATAAATACTTTTTGAGTAAGTATCCTAAACGTGCGTATGTCACTTCTGTGCGTGTGCTACTGCTCCAACATATCAGGGGCATTATTAGACACAAAAATAATTGAAATTAGGGCTGAGATTTGAATAGAAATAGAAACTTGATCAACGTCTTTCTTCACTCCTCTTTGGAAACTCCTGACACGACTGTGACTGTAGACTCTCCCCATCTACCCTCCCTCCTGATGCCTACTGTATAAAGCCTCTCTTGCCCTCCTCACGCCTCCAGAAAGGTCAGTCACTTCCTTCTTCTGACATGCTGTCCCTGCTTCCCTCATATACAATTATTATGATTATTTCAGCTCCTAGGGGGTCAATAATCTTAGTACTTGGTAGTGCTTAATCTATGATGGTGGCAAGTGTTCGAAGCGTGAATACATGAATGAGTAAGAATGTCAGGGAGAACATTTAAACTACTTAAAAACACAATTTCAAATACTTTATTTCAAATACTTTAGAAACCCTCATGTATATACACACATAATTACACAATAAAGCGTTCCCATTTACTCATGAATATGGACTACAGTATTTTGGAATACCCCCTCCTAAGTTTTCTTTAAAGAGAGGCTGGGCTGCAGATCAAAAACATCCCTTCCCCAAACTAAATTAAATTATGTTGCTTTTCTTGAAGGCTTCAGTACCATTTTACTAGATTGTGAAGATGCTTTGTTAAGTTTGTGATATAGCCTTACTATTTATATTTTGAAACCCGTATCTTTATAATGAATATACCTATAGTTGAAAAGGTTAATAAGCTTTTCTTATTTCTGTTAAATATACAGCAAAAAGAAGAAACTACATACCACATTAAGATTATAGAATTTAAAATTTTTTAAATCCAGAAATTTTAGACTTCATATCCCAAGCATCCTTTTCACTTTACAGTAAACCCCAAGGTGAGTTTTAGGAAATAGTAAAATCCTCTTGCCAACCGAGGAACAATGGAAAATCATATTAATTAATTAACTCTGTCAATTCTTTCCAAAAATAAAAGATTGTAGTGTTTCAGGGAAATATATAAAATATAAAATAATATGTGAATAAGAAAGTGGGAGGTGGGGATTGTTTCAGTAACAGGTGAGTGTTTTGCATCTTTTCAAGCAGAGGCCAGCTCTGCTGGAAATTGCTAGCTACAAGTATGTCTCAAGCTGAAACACACCTGTGCTGAGAAACATGGATCTCCTTCTCAGAATGGAAGCCGGGGCGTCCTGTCTGAGACAAGGTGAGGGTCTTAGAACAGAGACGTTGGTGGGAATAATTCTGTTTTGAGCAGTGTCTGGATGTGCCTGTTCTTCCTCAGACCCGTTTCTTCCTTTCTTTTTTCCACCCCCCACCCCCTCCTACTCTCTTTCCTCTGTTTTCTTCTTCCCAGACTCCTTTCTTAGGGCACTTACTCCCCTCCTCTATTTCCCCTTTGCTCCTCTTTCTTCCATCTGGGTGCTGGAATCTTACTCACAGCACATCTCACCTGTGCTAGAACGTAAAGAACTTTCAGCGACAGCCCTCACGTGCTTACGTTTCCCCCTGACGGGGCTCACCTCTGGTCATGGGACAAGTCCATTGCTCTGATGCCAGCGTCACATCCGGGGTAAATGTACAGCTGCTTGAAGTCACAGGCCTGCCAGACCTCCACCACACCATTGTCCCCTCCGGTCACCAGGTTCTGGCCATCGCTACTCAGGAGAATGGCCTTCAGAAAAGGTAGAAAAACAACAATTTCTCTCAGCTTTTCCCATTTGGTCAAAGCTCATTTACTGAAAAGCACTCGACACAGTTCCCTTGTAATTATTATCTACTTTTAGCCATCGGTCCAAGTTGCCTGAAGTCCAGTCCCCAGCATTTCCAATGTGGAATTCATCAGCGTTCTTACATAAACAAGGGGTCTTATTAAAACCAATTAAGGTTACAAAATAACAGAAGTCCCAAAGGGAATATTATCAATCTAATTCAGGAGGAACTTGAGAATTAAGGAACATGATGTTTTGTTAAGTCCTGAAGTCTTAACAATGTCAAGACTTCCAGAACAAATGGTGGAAGCATATTTTAAAACAGCTTTTAATAATGATAAGCCAACAATTACAATTCATTTATGAGTGAAGGGCAATCTGGTACATGTAATTTTGGTCTGGGGCTCTAAAGGTAAGATTCTTTGACAATAAACTCACTTCTAATGTCAGGGGGTACAGCACAGTTTATAAAGGAGCCGAAGAAAAATCTCCTTAGGGCTCTGACCTCTAATCAAACAAAAGCTATCATCTCAAAAACCTAATTCCCTGAGTTAACTACTTGAGATTAAATTAATTTTGGGTTTTTTCAAAGCATCCATCTACATGAATTTACATGCTTTTAAAACCAGCACACATTTGGGGTGCCTGGGTGGCTCAGTTGGTTAAGCTTCTGCCTTCGGCTCAGGTAGTGATTTCAGGGTACCCCCCCAACTCCCCACTCCCATCAAGCCCCGCCCTATTCAGCGGGGAGTCAGCTTCTCCCTCTCCTTCTGCCCTACCACCCTGTTCATGCTCTCTCTCTCAAATAAATAAATAATCTCTTAAAAAACAAACCAGCACACATTTATTTATTCGGATACCAGAAATTCTATCACGAATCATTTAATGTAAGATAGTCGATCAGTCTCGTGGCTTCAGTCCCTGTTCAGCATTGAACATGCAGATTTACCCTGGTTGAATCATTGATCTCCATCTGAGCCAAAAGTTTCCCGTTAATGCTGAAATTGCTGAATCGCCCTCGTTCATAGTATATGATACAGTGGCCTTCGCTAGAGACGGAAATCAAGCGCGGGAACAAGCAGTTTTCTGGTCCTTCAAGGGCTCGCAACAAATCTCCAGTGATGGTGTGGACAAGGCAAGGGCCCTCTGCAGAAGGAGGAAATCCATGGCCAGAGTCATTCGTGACAAGTCACATAGGAGCTCTCACTAACCTACAAACCCTACCTGGGTACGTACACTCTGATTTGTTGCAAGAAGGCAGAAAAGAAAAGAGGCAAGCCTGGCAAGAGCCAAGCACTGATGGTATATTTAAACAGATCATATATGCAACTGATGAATCATTGAACACTACATCTGAAACTAATGATGTACTATATGTTGGCTAATTGATTTTACATAAAAAAAATATATATATGCAAAAAAAACCCCCAAAACAAACAAACCCCACACAGATCAAATACAGGGAGCTATTAACACACACAGATCTTCCCAACTTTTTATCTAGGGAAATACTTGGTCTTTTCCTTCACGAGATAATATTCATAAAAAAGGATACACTTCATAGATAACGTGACAAGAGAAGATTGTATGTCCCGAAGTTTTCTTTTTTAGTTTGTGTTTTTGGAAGTTTTCTTTTTAAGTTTGTGTTTCTCAAAAGTTTAGGAGAATTATCAAAACAACTGCTAATTTTCTTGAGTATCATCAAAACTTTAACACTGTACCACATAAATACATTACTATGAAATAGTTTTACCTTCTCTATAGTCCATACACAAAATGTAAAAGGTAAAATTAAGGTACTTAATTAAGTAATTCAGACTACAGAAACATGTTTTGTCTGTAAATATGAGCAACGAGGCAAGAGTATAAAAAAGTAGGCTGGGGAGTGACTTATTTTGCTCTGATTCCCCCCCCCCCCCCGCTGGTAGAAATTGTGTTGATAAAAGTTTTACTAGACAAGTTGATAGAAATAACTGGTTCATACAGTTTTGTATTACCCACCCCCCAACAAAACAACCTCACAAAGACAGTTAATGAATTACATTTCTATTTTCCAATTGACTCTAGTAGATATGTAGTTTACAAAACAAGTGGCATTACAAGGCTATACCTAATTTTTTTCCTGATTACTAAAGTGATAGAAAATACAGAAAATTCGGGAGAAAAAGAAAATAACAGTCACCTCTAATATCACCCATCGCCTTTAGAAAAATACCGCCCTTTCCCTGTACCTACTATGTGTCTTTGTTTTCTTTTCCTTTTCACTTTACAGGACAGAATAATATTACACATATTGTTGCTCTTTTTTTTAATTAAAAAGACATTTATTGAAAATATCCTATGTCTCCACAGGGTCATTTTACTCTTAGATACGAAAGTGAAAAAACATAGTCCCTAAACTTCAGACATTATATCTGTTCTCCACAAAGCAGCCAGGATAAGCTCCTGAAAACCAAATCTGATCATTGCATCACTTTGCTTAAAAAAGCTTCAGTGGGTTCCCACTCTGCTCTGAACAAAATACACATGGCAAATCCCTGTGCCACCGGCCCTCCCGCCTGTCAGCCCTCTCGCTCCCTAACTCTGCGCCACAACGTCTACTCAGCCCCTCTGGTATTCTTGCAGTTTCTCCTAGGCATCAGGCTCCTTCTTGCGTCAGAGCCTCGTCACAGAGAATTGGGCTTCCACCCAGAATTAGAATCCAAGTCTCCTGACTTTTTCCGAAACAACAATTCTTCCACAAAAAGTCAAACCCAAGTAATCATGTTTCCTTTCCCACCAACCTCTACCCAGGCCCGGGCCTTATGAAGGAAGGGGCTCTGGAGGGAGGTGGGTCCAAGGCTATGTCTGAGAAGCAACCTGATGCCCCCAAGACTCCCACTGCCTCGCGGATACCTTCCCCCAACGTTTATACGTTATTTTTAATGGCTGCATCCTAGGGATGTGCTGCAGTTTAATTTACCAGTGTTCTGGCTAGAATGCTGGTGACCACAAAATACTACATAAAGTTTTATGCATATTCCATACTAGTACTAGTAAATATTAATAATAAAACAAAACAGTTGCAAAGAACCCAGCGATTCCATTGTCTGTAGAGAGCCTCCTAAAGGAAATAAATCATAAATCACGGTTAACGAGCCTCCTAAAGGAAATAAATCATAAATCACGGTTAACGTGAGAAAATAGTACAGGTTTTAAAGACCTAAAATGAAGGAAATGCCTTCTGACCTTTAGCACCACTGATAACAAGTCCAAGTTCTGCACAGACAGAAACACAGACAACTTCATGGTCATGGCCTGTGAGGACAGCTCTGGGTGCTGGATAGTCACCTGCAAGGAAAAAGGAGCAGTGAGTTAGTACAGACCGATGCCAGAAATGAAGAGCTACACCATTAAATCAAACATTTAAAAGTCGTTCATGTTTATTAAGGGCATTTACTAGCTGTGTGACCATGAACCAGTGGCTTAACCTCTCTGCTGTTTCCTCACCTGTAACCTACTGCTACAGGAAACCTACAGCGTGGGTGCTTCCAGTGACGTGAATAAGTTGACAGATGAGATGTGCCTACAACATTACCACAGTGGTGATCCTGCCTTTCCTATTGTTACGAAACAGACACCAAGGCTGCCAAAGCACATGTATGCATTTTCTCACGTACTTATGGTAATATTCGTCTGAGGCAGGGACTGTGACCATTCCTATGTTATAGCCTAGAAACCCAAGGCTCTGCAAGGTTACTCAACCTGCACAAGTTCACACAGCCACCAAGTGCTGGAACTGAACCCAGAGCTATCTAATTTTGAAACCCATGTTCTTACCCATTTAAAAATGTTCCCTAAAATCTCCAACAAAACAGGCTGAGGTGCTTTGATTTTGAGGGGAGAGGAAAGTAGTGAAGGAAAGAAGAGATGATCATATTGAGTTTCCACTTGACTTAATATTAAATCGAATTTAGCTAAAAAGTCCAGCTGTGTTATGTGACATAAGCATTTTCACTGCTAAGTGCTTTTGCAGTCATTAAGGGAATGACTTTTAAGTGACAGGCATTCTTCTAAGCAGGCTGGGTAAAGAGTGTAAAGAGGTGTAAGGCATAACCTGGAACTCTTGAGAACTCATCAAACAACCATGGCCTTCCCCAGGCTTGACACTGGAGGTGCTCGACAATGCCAAGTGTGAGGAAGAACAGATTATGTGCAAGGAGTATAGCAGGGATCAAAAGCCCTCCATATAAAGACAGCATCAGAATGTCTGGTGAGTAACCTGCACAAAGACAGCGTGAGAAGGATCAGCAAAGTTGAGAGGGCATCATGCCTAACACTGTCTTATGGGGGCAAACTGTTCGGAGAAGCCCGTCTAGGACAGAAATGAGGGGTCTCTACAGTCTTGGGTTGCAGACTTGTGAAGGAAAAGGAAATAGCAAGTCACAGAGGCACTGTGGAAGGTGAATGGGCTATGGTGCCAACCTGGGTAGGGTTCTCAGTGGTTCCATTGGTGGGTGGGAAAAGAGAGCCAGTGTTGGCCATCCTGGGCCTATGTGAGGATCTTTAAAGGACTCACTGAAGTGAAATTCTACTGGAAGTGGGTGATCAGAAAGGAGGATGTGAAACTCTTAGTAACAGTACAGTATGGACTTGAACCACCCAATCAGATTCAACAAATAATTTATCGATGCCTTGTAATACCCCACTATTTCCATTTTTCATTAACATCATGCTTATTAATGTCTTATGCCTATTACTTTGTTTTTATTTATTTTTAAAAAGATTTTTATTTATTTATTTGACAGAGAGAGAGCAGGAGAGCACAAGCAGGGGGGAGGTGCAAAGGGAGAAGGAGAAGCAGGCCTCCCGCTGAGCAGGGAACCTGATGCAGGGCTGGATCCCAGGACCCTGGGATCATGACCTGAGCCGAAGGCAACCGTTTAACCGACTGAGCCACCCAGGCGCCGTTTTTATTTTTAAACAGTTCTAGCTGACTCATACTGTATGACATTGGTTTATCTGGATGTGTGGTTTAGTTGACTCTACAGTATCACTTTAGCAAACAGTAAGTAGTATACATAAATACACCTCTGTGCATATATACGAAGATATTATTTCATCTTAAGTTATCAGGTTTATTGACCATTACTTTTTCTCCTTGAAAAGGCATGTTGGAACTTGGTCTTATAACTGCAACTCTTCCAGATTTCTTGGTATTTCTAAAACTAGGGTCTGTGCACCCTGGGCTCTGTGGATGTTTTCTTGGGAGTGAAAAGTTCCATGAAAAATTTTAAATTTCAGATTTATACTTTGATGATACTCTAAAAATATTTGTTAACCAGTTATAAAGATGAGATCTCTCTTTGTTGTCAAAAATTTATGCTGTGGCAATTTAAAATTGACATATGCTTTAAAAATTAAGATGAACTAATTAATTGTTTCTCAAACTTGTTCATGGGGTCCAAGAACACAGTCCTCAGAGTCAGAGGGCTTTTTGTGGGGGAGGAGGGGTTAAGGGGTTAATGACAATTTTGTTCTCTTTAAAAGGGATCAGTGTAATAGTGAAGTTTGAGGAACATTTTTGTAGATTAATTTTTTTCTCCAAGGTCACAAATTCTTTTCATGTTGGTAGCTTCCACAAAGCTACCTGATTTTCCTTTGTTTTTAGAATAATTAAAAATTAGCTACATATTAAATATTTATAACATATGTATAAAATTAAGAGAATAAAATAAATTCACTTGTGCTTACCTCCTAGCTTAAGAAATATAGAACATTACCAATAACTCTGGTGCTTTCTTATATCTTATGCTTACGCCTTTTTATTTATATTTTTTTGAGAGAGAGAGAAAGAGAGAGAGAACACGCATGTGTGAGCCGGGGCTGGGAGCGGCAGAGGGAGAGGAGAGCGTGAATCTCAAGCAGGCTCCAAACTCATCGTGAACAGGACTGGGGCTCCATCTCATGACCATGAGATCATGACCTGAGCCGAAACCAAAATTAAGATGCTTAACTGACTGAGCCACCCAAGGGCCCTAGACATATGCCTTTTTAAAAAAAAGTTCTGTATTTTTCTCTTTTGTTCATTCTGCTTCACCTGATTGTTGAGTTTGTGATCTTTTTAAATAGTGCTTGAGTTCCTTCCGTGCTGGCCTGTTCTTCCCTGTCAATCCTGTTCTGGATGGGGTGCCCCCCCACTCCCAATTCTTGTCTCTCAGAGAACCGCCCTGTGCTTCGGGGTTGACACGGCTCTGAGCGTTGCCTCCCGGGCTGCGATGCCTGGGCCTCACTGTGGAGGGAGCGGGGTGGGGGGGTGGCAAAGTGAATGTTCAAGGGTTGGCAATTGTGCCTGCCTCCTGGAGAGCCCCTCCCCTGGCACCGATGTGACCCGCAGCACTGAACAGCTGTGCCAGCGCTCTAATCCTATGCCCCACAGTGGCCGGAGGGAAGGCAACAATAGGTCTGGGAAAATTCTGGGGGGAAAGAGCGTAACTCAGATGCCTCCTCCTGCATGGCACATAACGCACTTCCCTCTGGTTTGCCAATACCTCCTTCTTTACACCCACCCATCTTCTGTCTCTCCAGGAATTGCTCAGTTTTATGTGAGCTTTCCCAGATACATCAGTTTCCATTTTGCTTTTGAGGCATCTCTCTGATGGAGTATGGAAGAAGGGAGATGGCGGCCCAAATGAGTGTGTCATCTTCTTCTAAGTTTATGTACACTGCTATAATGTGTTTGAATATTGGCAAAGTATCCATTTATATTTGTCAGCAGTCCTGGATTTGTCTGAGACATATTTTTAAAATGATGCTTCAAAGATGCCTTGCGTTCCCTGGTAAAATGAGAATTAAGATTTTATGTGTAATATTATCCTTAATTTTTCTAAGATTATTTTATGTCAGAGAGACTGGTGAATTGAAAAATCCTGAAATTATATGCTTAATAAAATTTACATAAAGAGTTTTCTAAACTTTTCCCTTATAGGCTACAGAAAAAGGTAGAAAGCAATCTAGTTCTCTTGCAGGGAACTGAAATACATGTATAAAACTATTCCTCATGTACGTAATCTATTTTCTGTTAGGAAGTAAGGTTTTCAAAGGCTTGCCTCTGATTTAGAAAGCTAAAAAATTTTTTTTCATTACAATCTCCCCAGATCATTTGAACATACTGTGGAACTTAACTATTAGGGGATATTGTTTAGGGCCCCTAACAGCATTGTTTCCCTCTTTAAACTAGAGAAAAGTCAATAAAATGTTATTTGGGGGTTTCTGAGTTGGGAAACCTGCAGCAGGGGGAAAGCATATTTCCCTGCCAGGGACATTTCATTGCCAGGGACAGATGTCACACACCCCAACAATCGTTCAAAATCTTGGGAATATTCTGTCACTGTCACATCACAACTGATGGATGTAGCTGGGGGTTAAAGGGCCTGTGCACAGGGAGATGCAGGTGAGGCTCCCCCCGCCAGGACCACAGCGTCATCACCCTCAACCCCCCTCATCTTCCCAACAGAAGAGCTCTCCGTGTGATGGAATCCCCATGGATGATAAAGAACAAACATGCCTGATTTTGAGATTGCTTATAGGCAAGCATTTGGAAACTCCAAATATAAAAGGCTTATTATAAACAGATTCCAACTTATTTTTAAGCAAAAGCCATTTCAGTATTTTCAAAATGGTTGATGAAAACAGTACAAAGATATTAGATGCTGTTATTCACATGGCACCGACGAGGAACTTTTTCAGTGAGATGGGTCTCTGCTTTTAGAGAAATGATCAAAGTAAAGATACTCATGGTTCTTATTATTTTAAACCTTATTTGTGGGACTACTACGCAGGGGGAAGCTTTGGTCCTTCTGAATTAAGAGCTAAACAAAAATAGCAGAGTTTCTACAATCTATGACCCTCAGCGCAGTTCTGCTGGAGTCAGAGGATGAAAGTCTTGATGATATATGACGTTCAGATTTTATCTACAACCTTTGTTAGCTCACTGCAGAATCCCTGTGGAAGGTATTTTCGTTCATGTTTATACCTACATAAAAACCGGATGGCTTGAAATCCCAGAATAAGTATTTTATTAACTACTCCGATTTTCAAGATTTATTTAAAAAAACTGCTAGATAATTGTTAGGGCAGCTCTGAAGGACTGTGTCTGTGAAGAGTCCCTTATGGAGACTCTGTATCCTCAGCCACCTGCAGAGGTCTGGCCCAAGCACCCATAGTGCCTGGGCCCACATTTTCCACAGGTCACAGGTGACCCACATAAAAACATCCCTGGGGTTGGAAAATGTCCTCTGATGTGGTTTCCTTTTTATTACATACTCACAGTGTACTCACTGGAAAACAGA